ACCCTAAACCCTTATGGGGTTTAGGTTTGAGGGTTGAGGGTTCAGGCTTGAGAGCTTAGGGTTATAAGGGTTTAGGGGTAGGAGTCTACGTTCTAGGTTTGAGATCTTTGGGGGTTTTGCGCTCCATGCCTGGCCTCTAAAGCCTGCGGCCTAAGTTGTAGAACATATGCAGTCCCAAAACTTACACTTCAACTCGCTTTAGGATTCTAGGGTTTAGGCGGTTTCAGGTTTTAGTGCCTTTAATTTTAGGGCTGTAATTTATTGGGCTAACTCTACTTCTGCTTGCTCATAACCTCAAACGATGTATTTTCTGACCTTACTGGCTCAGATCTTTGATTCTCCAAGTGCAGCAAATCTCACATCCCGAAGCGAAGGAGCCAGGGAATAGGAACAGCTTAGGTTTGAATATAGAGTACAGGTCTGACAGAGTAGTGAGTAGTGATCGTATTCCCCGATTCTAGAACCTGCATGTCCCAAGACTCTATACCCTAAACGCCAAACCCTAAACCCTATATTGATTGTAAAGGGCTCTACGTCACAGTTTAGGAAGGTTTCAGGGGTCTCCTTCTTTAGTAAAGGTTCTTGGAGGCCATGGTGTTCTAAATCAAGCTAGGGGCAGGACTCTCGGCCATTGGAAAGGCGAAGCCCGAAACTCTGAACCCCTAGGAACTCTTAAGCCTTAAACCCTAAACCCCAAGACCCCAAACCCTCAACCCTACAGCCCTCGTCCCCTCAGCTCCTAGGGATTAGGGTTTAGGGTTTAGGGCACTGCAGAGGCCATACGCCACTGAGCACCTCTTATGGATACTCCGGAAGCTTGTCAGCACCAGACGTGGGCTCTTCTGAGCAGACTCGCACAACTTTGCGGGCGAAGTGGAACAGTAACGTAAACTTACACCCTAAACCCTAAGCCCTACACCCTAAACCCTACACCCTATAAAACCCTAAACCATAAACCCTAAAACCCTAAACCCTACACCCTATAAACCCCTAAGCCATATAAACCCTAAAACCCTAAACCCTTTCAGTACGTTCAGTCTGTCTATCATGATTGTTGGTACATGGAACCTCCGGAGTCTTGTCAGAACTTCCCCGCAGTTGAGTAGGGTTCGGGTTTGACGGTTTAGGGTTGAGGGTTTACGGGCTTAGGGTTTAGGGGTTTAGGGGCTTCGGGTTTAGGGTTTAGGGTTTAGGGTTGGGGGTTTTGGACACTGCTTAGGTCGAAGCTTCAGGGGTGCGTGAGAGTACTCACATCGAGCAAACAAGGTCTCTCCTGTAAGTGGGCAGAGAGTTGGGCTTCCGAGGTAAGGGGTCCTTAACCAGAAGATTTGAGGGAAGCGAGCCGGGCAAAATCGAAAGTCCAGGTTCATGGTTTCGCGGGACGAGGGTCCAACCTTGAAAACACTCAACGAGCACATTCCGGAACGCAAGATACAAAGTAGTGTTTTAAAAGTAGAAGGCAGCCCCAAAGCCATGTCAATTATAACGATTGATGCCAGGCGCTAACTCCTGAGGTTCACATATTCCGTACCAGAACCCTGCACCCTAAATCCTGCAAGTCAACGCGCCGATCCAGGAATGAACGCGTACCAGGGTAATTCGGGCTATACCATCGCGATGGCCGGTGGAGCGGGACTGCTTGCCGGATATGTCGCTTGGGTTGGTCGGAAAACTTGGTAATACGGCTGATGAAATAAATCCTGTTACCTTAAGGACCCTAAACTATTGGGATTATTGTCTGTTCCTTATTGTGGGTAATGCAGGATTTGTATCATCAACCGTAGTACCTGGTGTTTGTCTCAAATGCTGGAGCCTGCTTCCAAGTACTCAGGCCCCCTCTATTGGGGTTTGGGGCATCTGGTTTACAACTCACACGCACACAGAGAGACAGAGATATTCATGTGTATATTCATATATTTATATACATACATACATACATACATACATACATACATACATACGTACATACACAAACATACATGCTTTTTCGCATAACTCACACTGCATATTTGTAATTATTGATTCTGTTGCCCGTGAACTAATGTCTACACACATGCTCCTCGTGCCACGAGATAACTTTTCAGTTTCGTCTGTTTGTCGTCGTTGCTCTGCTAGGGCTGCTCAGAAGGAGTAGCGGTGCACCGGCGACTTAGGAAGCGAAGTCTTGAGCAACTCTGGCTTTGGGCTCTAAACGTACAGCAGCCTTTGTTTAGGGTTTAGGGTTTGCCTCCCCCCCCCCCCCCTTTTAAAGCCGGGGGGCTTCTGCGAGCTCTAAGGTCGGCAGTCAGCTGATGCATCCGTACTACCACCATCATGGATACTCCTGGGGCGGATACAATCGCCAGGATGCTCGCGCACCGGTGTATGGTTCGGCTCAGAAATATACCAAAAGCCCGAAACGCAATAGCGGTACTAGCAGCCTTAAGCTCTTCGAAATTCGTAAGACAATAGGTACTACAGTCCCTAAGCCTCACACCGTAGACCTCTGATGAATTAACCCCTCCCCAGCGTTTAGGGGTTTCGGGTTTAGGGTTTAAGTAAACCCTAAACCCTAAACCCTAAACCCTAGACCCTACACGCTAAGCCCAGTTTAGTAAGGGGTTGAAGTTCTGAAGGTGCCGGACCATACTTGGCTTTTGGGCTCAGGGTTCAGAGTTGAAGGCTTTGGGTCAGGGTTTCGGAGCCACTAGACATAGGTTAGGTTTAGGGTCTAGGGTTTAGGGTTAGTGAGTTTAGGATTTAGGGTTTAGGGTGTAGGGTTTGGGGTTTGGGGTTTAGGGTTTAGGGTTTAGGGTTAGTGAGTTTTGCTCATCGTTGCAAGCCGCAGCTGCTGCCGTAGCAACATTGATGGCAGCATGAAGTTAAGAGGTCTTCTTGGCTTACCAAGTAGCTGTGATAGTGGTTAGTACGAACGTCTTCCGATGTTCGTGGCTAAACTGGTGTTGATGAATAGTCGAATTTGCAACGGGTTTGTGCTCTTCAGCAGCATCACTGTATCCTGTTTCTACTTCGACAGGACAGGGTCCTTGACAATCTTCTCAAGACCTAAGCCCTAAACCCACTCCCAAACACCAAGCCCCAACCCTCAACCCTAAACCCTAAACCCTAAACCCACAACTCCCAAACACCAACCCTCAACCCTAAACCCTAAACCCTAAACCCTAAGCCCTAAACCCGAAACCCTAAACCCTAAACCCCTAAACCCTAAAGAGACAGGATATCTATGGAATGCCATGTACATCCGGGACCTGGTCGGGCTCCTGCAGCTCTTGCGTGAGCCTTTATGGCGGCTCCTCAGCGCACAAAGCTCGAAGTAGGGTCCCTTTGAGGGCTACTTAAAGGGATCGAAAAAGGATTTCTATAGGGTTTCTAGAACGGTTCTGTGTGGGTAGTTCTCTAAGTCTAAATTTGGGGCAGACACTTCGACTTCCAGGGCAGATGGTGGGCTCAAAGGATCATGCAGCTTAGTAGCTAGGGTTATAAATAGGGTATAAGGTACTCACTCACTCACTGTACATCTATGCAGCCTCTGCATGTAACTATCTCTCTAGCTACCTGTGTTTGCCCCAGCTGATTTTCCATCCACATACTCATCCATCCACGTGGTGTGGCGGTGGTGGTGGTGGTGGTGGTGGTGGTGGTGGTGGTGGTGAATGTGCCGTTATCACGAAAACCCTGGCTTAATACTAATAATACTAATAATGATAATGATGATAATAATATACATTATCATCACAATGTGATGTCTTCTATCCACGCTTTCAGTCTGAGGTTCCTCTTGCAACGTGATGATGTCGCCAAAGATCGACGCCGCGAGGGACGACCTCATGAACACGGGCTTCGCGCCTGCGCAGGTGCAGGGTTGCTAGTTTAGGGTTTAGGGTTGCAGGTTTAAGGGTTTAGGGTTTAGGGTTGAAGGGTTGAGGGGTTTAGGGTGTAAGGGTTTAGGGTTTAGGGGAAGTTCGCAGAGCTTAAAATTAAAGGTCTCTGTGTCACAGTTTGAGTGCATCTGCTTGAGGCTTCAGAGAAAATGAAGCACGCACCCCAATCTCCAAATTCCGAACCCAAAAGCATCACTTGAGCTTCAAAGCTTCCGGCCCCAAACCGCGAAACCACCCTAAACCCTAAACCCCAGGGGTCTCCAGGCTGGGATTGCAGATCGTGGCCCGAACTCTTAAAACCAATTTAAACCGACACCCGCAGCCTTAAACCCCACACTGTGACCCCTGAACGTTATGCCCAATCCCTGAGCCAGCCTGAACCTTGCGCCTTAAAGCCCCAAACCCCCTCTAGATTCTACCCCGAAAAAGTGAGTGCGAGGTTTCGAAAATTGAAGACCCTACGTAATTCTAATCACCAAACTGTAAACTGCACGCACATTCCTCATTACAAGGAGCCCCACAGATTAGGACGTTTGATGTTCCAGAAGCCTTGCACCCTCAGGTGGCCTGGCCCATCACCGTCACGATCACGCACCTCTCCGGGCCGGACTTCACCCCCTCCCTGATCTGCCCCCCACAGAATGGAACGGGAGACTGGCAGCCACCGGCGATGAGCCTTCGTTACTGCCAGTCCTGGGTGTTGATCTGATTCATGGGTCTTTGTATTGCTAAACCCTAAACCCTAAGCCCTAAGCCCTAAGCCCTAAGCCCTAAGCCCTAAACCCTAAACCCAAACCCTAATTGATTAAACCTTACAGCTTTAGCCATGTTGAAACGCTTAGTCGTATTTATAAGTAGTTTCGTCGCGCTCAGGTCTCGGCCTTCGGGGGGGATTCACCCGTTTAGGGTTAGGGTTTAGGACCCAAAGCCTAGAAGGTTAATATAGGGGCCTGAATAATTACCTATACTATTTTGGGGGGGTCCTTATTGTAAATATAGTATAATGGGCCCCAAAACCCAATTCTAAGTATTAAGGCCCCTACAGTAGGCGCTTCAAGGCATCTCCGGGCCTCTGCTTGTTCGAGTGTGGGGTTTAGGGGTTACTTGGAGGATCAGGGGACTTAGTAAGTGAGGCTATAAGTACCCTAATTGCCGTTTTATCTATCTATCTATCTATCTATCTATCTATCTATCTATATATATATATCTATATATATATATATAAGCATAGCTACCTTGTTTATAGCTCTAGTTGCTAAGTCTCACGATCCTTCAAGTAGGCTTTAGGGCACAGCTGTGCGAAGCTTGTGTCTGAGGGCTCTTTGACCTAAGGCCCTTTGGTTGTAGCTTGAAGCCTCATGCAAGCATGAAGGACAAGTGCTTTGCCTGTAGCCTTCAAACCTCCCGAGCCTGCTCCAAGCAGCAATCGTGAGCCCCACCTGGCAAACACATGAGGTGCCCTATTCAGATCCGTATTTTCACGAACCCCCCCGCTCAGAATAAGTAGGGAAGTTGGGAAAATCCCTGTCGCCAAGGAAGCAGCTTTTCTTGACCCTCACGGCCTTGGGCGAGAGAACAGGTGCGGACGCATATGTCAGCGGCCACCAGGCAGGTTTGGGGCAAGGAGCGGGGTCTTTGTTGCTCAAGGTCATAAGGCTTTAGGGTTTAGGGTTTAGGGGTTTGGGGTTTAGGGGTTTAGGGGCTAGGGGTTTAGGGGTTTAGGGGTTTGGGGTGTAGGGGCTAGGGTTGAGTTTGAGGGCCGGGGTGAAAGGTTTGGAGGTTTAGGGGTCAGAGGTTTGTCTTCGAGGCTTCAGAGACTCCCAGGTCGAAGTCTGCAGAGCTTTCGTGCAGACTTGGAGGCCCAGGGGACTTAGTAAGTGGGGTTCTAATTAGGGTAACTCCATTTAGGGTACTTATACTTATAACCCACTTACTAAGTCCCCTGGGCCTCCAAGTAGAGATGCTAAGCATGTCGCAGTCCATTGCAGTAGGGCTTCGCAGACCGGGCGAGCGGCAAGAACAGTGGTCGGTGGGCATACCCTTAGTGCTTCACTCGTAGACCACACTTAGGCCCCCAATTTCTGTAAAGAACGGTCTCTGAATATCTCGTAATAGCCTTCCTTAGGATTGCCGATCTTTGATGATTACACTGTAACGTACCTTAAACTCCAAGTACCCTAAACCCTAAACCCTAAACCGTCAAGGCCCAAGCACTAGCATCCCAAACCTAAGCCCCAAGGATCGAAACCTCCTAAAGCCCCCTCCTAAGCCTAAGCCCTAACTCCTGAGCCCCTAAACCTCTAAACTCCTAAAGCCCCAAACCCTAACTCCTAAGCCCCTAAACCTCTAAACTCCTGAAGCGCCAAACCCTAAATCCTCAGCCCCTAAACCTCTTAATCCTAAGCCCTTCTTAAACCCTAAGCCCCTGAACCCAAAACCCAAAACCCCAAAACCCTAAACCCAAAACCCTAAAACCCAAAGCCCCAAAACCTCTAAAAGCCTAAAGCCTCAAACCCGAAGCCCTGCGTCAAAGCCTGGCTTTGTGCAAGGGAGCTGCCGGGGCTTCCGGGCTCTTCAACATCTTGTTGCACCCTGGCCTGCGGTTGATAGGGTCTAGGGGTTTAGGGGTTTAGGGGGTTTAGGGGGTTTAGGGGGTTTAGGGGGTTGAGGGGTTTAGGGTTTAGGGATGGCGACTTCGTTTCAGCGCTCCCTCCAGGGGTGTAAACCCTCAACCCCTGCGGTTGATAGCAGTTCTCAAGATTTTGCCAGGATTAAGGTTTAGGGTTTAGGGCTTTAGGAATATAGGGTTTACAGGGCGTCATGCAAAAACATACTTAGGGACGCTGGGAGCAGGCTCTCTTACGCAGATTCCTTAGATTCCTAGAGAAAACTTCTCAGGACTTGGAGTTGTGCGTTTAGGGTTCGGGAGTTAGGGGTTGGCATCGAGGGTTCGAGATTCAGGTGGAAGAAGTTAGTGTAGGGGCCTGGGTTTAGGGTTTAGGGTTTAGGATACTAATTTTGGGGGTTCCTGATTATAAGGATTGTATACATGGGCCCTCAAACCCGATTCGAATGAGTAAGGCCCCTAGATTCGCTGAGTTTAGCGCGCAGGATTTAGGCTTCAGGATTTGCAGGATTTCGGTTTCAGGAGTTTAGAAAGATTCGGGACGGCTCAAGAGTTTAGGGTTTAGGATTACATATGGGGGGTTTAGGTTCACGTCGGGATGCTTTAGTACTCATATCCCCACAAAATGCTGCCTAGTCCTATAGCCCCTACCCGATTCTGCCCGAAGCCCTGCCCAAACTCTATAAGCCCTAGACCCAAACTCTATAGACCCCATACCCAAACTCCATACGTAAGCCCTATAATTAGGCCCAAACTCTATAAACTATAAAGCCTACAGTGACCCAGTATTGAAGGCCTCATGTCAGTCCTATCAGACCCCGGACCTCGACCAGCGCCCCAATTGCGCCGAATTTGAAGGCCGAAGCCATGAGAGGCCTATGACCGCGAAGCCGAAACACCGAAACAGGGGAACTACTTACGGTTGATGATATAAATCCTGGTCCTTAAGGTACTGCAGGATTTGTATCATCAACAGTACTTAAGACAGAGGCTTTAGGAGGGTAGTGCACCAAAGCAGAAGGAGATGGTCTTCAGGAGAAAAAACACCCGAAGGTTAAGAACTCCAATCCCTAAACCCTAAACCCTAAACCCAAGTAGCCCCGAAAAGCAGGGGCTTGAGGTCGCACCCTAAACCCTAAACCCCTAAACCCCTAAACCCCTAAACCCAAAACCCTAAATCCTAAACACAACTCTGAGGCGGAAGCCCCGGACTGTTTTGATGCTGGGACCCGAGGGGCTTGTGTTTCTCTGCTGTACTCTCCCCTTGCAAGGTAAACCCTAAACCCCTAAACCCTAAACCCCTAAACCCTAAACCCCTAAACCCCTAAACCCCCCAAGAGCCTGAGAGTTCGTGTCGAGGTGTTGCTGTTGCCTTGGGGGCCTTTATTATTGCGGCGCCAATAAGAGCAACCACGACTACCAGACGCTTGTCTGAAGGTCGGAAGGTCGCATGCAGGCTTAGGATTTGAAATTGGGTTTTCAGCTTCTTGGCTTCGGAGCTTGCAAATGGAGGCTTTTGAAATTCTGATGTTGGGGCTTTGTCAGCGCCAAAGCCTGCAGAGACTTCAGCTTGTCGTTGGTACGGAAACCAAGGGATCTGGCGGGGCGTCTTCTCATGCCTGTATAACTTTCTAAAGCTTAAAGCAGATTCCCTGTTTGCGCAGGCTCGGTCTCTGTTTGTGACACAGGCTGAGATTGAATAATCACTGCAGCCGATGCCAAGTACGTAGCCAGCGAGCAAAGTTTCGTGTTATTGTGCCAAGTCTACAGCACCTTTCGTCATAGTGGAAAGAGCTGCGGCGATCAGCCATCGTCATCAGCAGCACCGTGGGCAGCATCACCATCGCCATCACTGTCACCATCATCATCACCGTCATCATCGCCATCAGTATCGTCATCATCATTATCATCGTATTCTTCAACATCACTCTTCATCGACATCACTGGCACCATCACCGTCACTGTCTCCATCTCCGTTTCACTCTGTTGCCATCTTCATCCTAGGCACCATCATCATCACCCTCATGCCAATGTCTTCCTCAGAATCGGCAGGTGGAACGTAACGATAAACATAACGGTTCTGATGACGACAGGGGAATGGCCTCATACTCAGGACAAGAGCCATATTTCATGGGTGATGACTGCAAAGACGCTAGGTAATTAGTAGGAATGGCAGCCGAAATGAAGGGCTACACGCAGGATGAGCCAAGAACGGTATTGATACTCAGCGCAGTCGCCGTTTTCGTCACGTTGCTTGTGCTTAGTGGGGGATTATCGAGCAGTAGTAGGAATACGCGTGGCTGGAGCACCTGCACTCAATTAACAGAAATGAGTTGAAATCAGAGTAGAAGAAGGACGAGTAGGAGCAAAAGTACGAAGGAGCCAAACTTGCAGGGGTTGGATAAAATTATGAGACAAAGTCTGATCATGTGCATCCTTTGGATACTGCCCCCACTCAGCAACAGTTGAGTAATATTCATAATATGGATATATAAGACCCCTTAATACTAGCCCCATTACAGACTGTTACTGTATGGGGGCCGAACCCAATGCATCCTCATTGTCACCAACAGAAAGCCCACTACCAAAAACCCAGGTTTTAACAGCCCAGAATCGGCAGAAGATCCACTCGCCCCAAGCCCCAAGCGGCTTGAATGCCAACCCCCCCCACCCCAACTATCGGCCCCAGGCGCTGAACCCCTAAGTTAGGGTTTAGGGTTTTGGGTTTAAAGGTTTAGGGCTCTACTGCACAAGGGTAGTTCTCTACATTGTGGTCCCTCTTTTTAGGTCCCAAAGATAGTACGGCAGCCTTTTAAAGAGGATCCTAAAAGGGACCCTAGTTTAGAGAACTGCTCTGACAAGCTAGCCCTAAACCGTAAACCCTAAAACCCTAAAGCCCTAAACCCCGAAACCCCAACAGCCCTAAACCCTAAACCCTCAAACCCCATCAGCCCTAAACCCCTAGGCCCTAAACTCTAAACCCTAAAACCCTACAGTCCTAAACCCTTAACCCCCCAACAGCCCTAAACCCTAAACCCTCAACAGCCCTAAACCCTAAACCCCGAAACCCCTAGGCCCTAAACCCTAAAACCCTAAACCCTAAACCCCAAAAGCCCAAAAGCCCAAAAGCCCTAAACCCCAAACGCCCTCAAGTTTTAAAGCCCTGAGAAGCCCAGGTTTGGCCCAGATCCCGCAGGACCGCTCCCGGGCTATCAAGGAGCCTATGCCCAGCCTTCCCAGAGCCTTGGTTTCGGGGTTTTCGGGTTCTAGGGGTTGTTTAGGGCTCTGAGGTTTTAGGGGTTTGGGGGGTTTAGTTTTTTTTTTTTTGTGGGGGGGGGG